AGTCGTCAACCACCAACAGGAAGTAACGCTCGTGAACTTGTCCACGGACGCGGGCGGGGCCTCACACGTCCATGTGAAGAGTCTGCAGCGGAGCCTGTGTCGAGGAAACTTGGAGGAGTGAGGGGCGGCGCGCTGCCGCCCCTCGACGCAGGGAACGCAGGTAGGGGCAGGCCCCCGGAGAGAGGGGAGGGAGAGACCGGGGGAGACCAAAGACAAGAACACAAGAGGCCATGCCTCGGAGACGAGGCAGGGAAGGGTGACCAAGGCGGTGGTGCTAGAGGAGAGTCTGGTGGGACAGGAGACGACAGGAGCAGGGAGCAGACTCAGGACCAGTCCTGGACGCTGAACCAAACACTTGACTCGACGCAGCTACCAGGCAAGACTCAGCAACCGGAGGAGACTCAGTAGTCATTGTGTACAGGCTCGGCCCCGGCCGGCGGGTAAACGTGGCCAAGTGTAAGCCTGTCCGAGCACACGTATAGTTGGTCACCCGCTGACTCGTAGAAGTGAACTGGTCAACCCCCCCATCCTGTAGGTCAGCACCACTCACCAAGTTTGTAGAGAACGAGGGGAGGTAGAGACCTGACAGGGTGCCAGAGGGGGCTGCCGGACACGGTAAGATAGTGGAGAAGCGAGCAAGGACAGGACCCCCAGAGGGGTCCGCCAGGGAGACCGCAACCGGCCGACTAAGCGGCGTAAGCGTGGCGCGGTCTCGAAAGAAGGAGCGGGACGCACCCGAGTCAAGGGTGAAGGTGTGTAAGGCCTGAGCCGACGTGGTACCTAAGAGAGCAGACTCATCAGCACCTGGGGCATAAGACGCACTAGCACCTAGAGCAGAAGACGCACTAGCACTTAGAGCAGCACCCGCAATGCCTGGGTCAGGCGGAACACACAGGTAACAGTCACCCTCATCACTAGTAGACACACCATACATGGCAGCAAGAATAGCATCATAGTACAGATCAAAGATAGCAATCCCCGCCATAGATAGCTCTCCCCAGCTATGGATCTCACTGGCGTCACGGAACTGGTGACGCAAAGCGTCTGTCAGGCGACCGAAGCATGGCTGGGTTGAGTGCGAGCCCTCGCACTGCTCACCAGCGCGGTCGCCGGTACGGAGGACGTAGGTACAGGGACCAATACCCCCACCTCGCTGACGCCTAGCGTACCACTCACGAAGCTGCTCGGGGGACGGGATCTCACTAGTGCGCTGCTGCAGCTGGCGCGGACCACCACCGGAGCCACTCCTCTGTGTAGAGCCGCGACCAGCTCCACCGCCGCCGCCGCTACCTCCGCCACCTCCGTCGCCTCCGCTCCCACCGCCACCGCCGCCGCCTCCTCCGCCTCCATTGCTGCCACCGGCACCTCCACCCCCGCCACCACTCCCACCACCACCCCCACCCCCTCCACTGCCTCCACCACCACCTCCACCGCCCCCGCTAGCCCCTTCACTGCTCTTGCCCCCCTTGCCCTTGCCGGCGCAGCGTCTCGCGCTAGGGGCAGACGCAGCGCCGACCGGCTCGAAGCCAACGAGGTCGGCCGCAGTAGCAGAAACAAGAGAGGGCAAGAGGGGGGAGGGGGAACACCCCTCAAAGACGGGGGTACGAGGGTCACCATGAGAGGCTCCTACAGCGACTATGCTCTTCTCTGCTGCCAGGAGGCGCTCCTCGAGGAGGTCAACGGTGAGTGTGGTGGGGCAAACTGAGAGGAAGTGGTCCTTGACTAAGCGAAGAGAGTCAGGGAGCCGGGTGACTATGTAGTAGAGGGTGATGTACATGGGGGGAGGGTTCTTGGCACAAAACTCAGCAGAAAGCGCAGCGCGGTAGCGAGTGTCACTAGTGCGAAGGTGCGTTATGAGGTCAGCGATTGTGGGAAAGGCAGCAAGGTCAGGGAACAGGTACGGCAGCATGAGGCGGCTAAGAGCAGCAGTGGCAAGGGAAGAGTAGCGTGCAACGACAGCGTCGTACAAGGTCTTAGCACTCTTGTACTGACTAAAGTGCGCACGCTCAGTGGTCGGTAAGTGGCGACGCACAGCAAGACGGGCAGCAGCATCGCGTGTGGCCCACTAAGAGGGAACAGTGCTGTCAGCAGTAGCAGGCGGGGCAGGAGAGGCACCAGAGGTGAGATCAAACAGGGAGAGTCCGTCTGCCCTATCGCACTGTAGGAAGAGCTGGAGGTCATCGACCCAGACCTCAAAGTCAACAGCATCGACCTATCACATCAAAGGACACTAGGGGTAGCCATGACAGCAGTGGTCTAGCAGGGAGTGCTCTCACCAGTTCGGGTGGGTAGGGCCGGTGCACGCCGGTAGGAACAGTAGCGGCTCGACGGCGGCTCGGCGGCTTGGTGGCTCGGCTCGGTGGCTCAAGGGGCCGTGAAGGGCGGCGACGGGGCCGCTAGAGGCGGCGACGGGGCCGCAAAGGGCGGCGACGGGGCAGCTAGAGGCGGCGACGGGGCCGCGAAGGGCGACGACGGGGCCGCTAGGGGCGGCGACGGGGCCGTGAAGGGCGGCGACGGGGCCGCAAAGGGCGGCGACGGGGCCGCGAAGGGTGGCGACGGGGCCGCTAGGAGCGGCGACGGGCCTGCTAGGGGCGGCGACGGGGCCAATAGGGGCGGCGACGGGGCTGCAAAAGGGCCGCGAGGGGCCTCGAAGGGCGGCGACGGAGCCGCTAGGGGCGGCGACGGGGCCGCGAAGGGACCGCGAGGGGCCTAAAGGGAGCGGCGACGGGGCTACGAAGGGGCCGCGAGGGGCCTAGAGGGGGGGCGACGGGGCCGCGAAGGGGCCACGACGGGCCTAGAGGGGCGGCGACGGGGCTGCAAAGGACAGCGACAGGACCGTAAGGGGTGGTGACGGGGCCGCTAAGGGTGGCGCGAGGGGCCGTGAGAGGCGACGTGAGGGCGGCCAACGGGGCGCGCCTCGGGCAGGGGCGACTCGCGCTCCGGTCAGGAAAAAAAGTCGATTTCAGTGGTGAGCCCTGAGAAGCGTTCCCACTAGGGAACCTGCTCTATACCATGTGAAGAAATGAGGAATGAATAAACTAGCAAGCAGATGGGTACAAGTAGGAAAACCTAAAAGTGTTGTACCCCATATTGTCTACCCCACTATAGCCTACACAGACTATAGCATATGAGTTTGACAGTTACCTCGGGGCATTTCGGGGTAGAGAAAACACGGCAGCAGCTGCAGCGGTATTTTTACTGGCCAGAGATGTTGACCGACGTCCAACCACACGCGGCATCGTGTCCCACTTGCCAGCTCATGAAATCATCACGGCAGCGGCCGGCAGGGCAGTTGCAGCCGATACCACCCCCAGAGCGTGCTTGGCAGCAGGTGATGATGGACTTCGTCACGGGGTTACCGGCCGGGGTGAGTGGGAACGACACGATCCTAGTCATCGTCGATGGACTAACGAAAATGGCACATTTCACGGCCTGCAAAAAATCGATCACAGCCGAAGAAACAGCTTGACTCTTCATCTCCACCGTCGTTCGACGCACGGGATACCATCAGCGATCATCAGCGACCGCGACACGAAATTCACCAACAACTTTTGGCGGAACCTGTGGCAGCAGTTCGGCACCCGACTACAGTTCAGTTCTTCATACCACCCCGAAACCGACGAACAGACAGAACGGACAAATCAGATTATGGAGCAACTCATCTGAGCCACGTGCGATGACCCAACCACCTGGGAACAACAGCTGCCACTCATTGAGTTCGCATACAACAATTCGCCATTCGCCACGACCCAATAGTCACCGTTTTACCTAAACTACGGACAAGACCCGACAGTACCCATGACCCCAAATCCCGACGACCCGGTGCCACGAGCACAACAATTCGCCGAAATTTTACAAGCAGCACGGACCCGGGAAGCTGACGCAATAAAAAAGTCGAACATCATCGCTAAACGTAACGCCGACCGCCACCGTCGACCTGTCACTTACCAACCTAACGACCTAGTTTTACTCGACACTGAGAACCTCCGCCTGCCCATCACCCAAAAACTCCGGCCCCGATATTGCGGGCCATTCCGCATAAGCCACATGATTATGCCCGTCATTGCCCACCTCCTCCTCCCAGCTGACTGGTACGTTAGCCCCTCATTCCACGTCCGCCTGCTTCGCCCTTACGTCTCGTCCACAAGCCAACTGCCTCGAAATCGCCCAGCCAGCATGACACGACCGCCGACTAAACCAATCATCACACCCGAGAAAATTATGAGCCACAGAGTTCGTGACCCTCGAGGAGCCCGGAGGATCGAGTTCCTGATCCGCTGGAAAGACCGTACACCCACCGAAGACAGCTGGGTTCCCCTGGACAGAGTCGAAAACCACCCCGTCCTCACAGAGTATCTGCGCAGCCGAAACTTCAGGGATGTACACGAACATTCGTAAGGAGGACCTCCTTAGGGGGGGGGGGGGGGGGGGGGGGGGGGGGGGTAGTGTAAGGAAAATTCCTTTTCCTTACTTCGCATCCCTGCTCAGCGCGTACACCACTGTAGCACCACAGTCAGCACCGTTACCACTCGCAAACCCTCGCATCGACAATCCTCCCGCCACCTTCGCACGTCGCACCCCGACCTCACGGCTCGGCGGGTAACCCGCGCTCTGGGCCTCCGCTTCGACATTTTCCCAAACCTCAGTCCCAGGCCCGTCGCGCGACAACCACGGTCCATTACCGTTACCACTGTAGTTTCGCTATATATTCTTCGCTCACGCCTTCGCTCATTGTACTCTTGATTCGATAGTGCAATTCTCGCTCGATCACTCAATTGCACTCGTAATATCACCCAAGATGCATAAACAATGCCATACCCATTGCCAATGGCTGGACCATCCGCGCGCATAGCGTGTCCGATTTCAGCAAGTGGCATCCTTCCAGATTGGCTTGAATATTCTACTTTGATTGTAGGGTAGGGGGGCGCATATACACATAAATCCACTACCATGTGAAAGAAAGCAAAACAAAGTGAGAGAAATGTGGTGCTATCTAAGTTTCACGCTGCCCCGACAACCCACTTGAGCGACCACGTCGCATCGTTTAACCGGCGGATAAGCTCAAACTGAATCATATGAAACGATAACATCCATATACGGTAGTTATACAGCCATGTAGTGCAGTGTATTGAGTTATTCACAGTGGCCCATGGCGAGGAGTAAGCGAGTGGGTCGTCGCGTCGCAGAGTGCATTGTGACAGCAAAGCAGGAGGGCACCGCCCAGGGAGACATGCAGGCAAGCACACAGACCAAAGAGGGTAGGTGCGGCAAAGGGAATGGGTAGAGACACAGGGAGAGACAGAGGGGTGGAGGTGTGGGATGGGGGAAATGAGTGGTGGGATAAGGGTGGAAGGGGACTTTCGATGCGACTCAAAAGGTCCATGGAGAGACATAAGTGAGTGGGTCGCCGCGTTGCAGAGTGCATTGTGACAGCAAAGGAGGGAGGCACCACCCAGGGAGACGTGCAGGCAAGCACACAGATCAAAGAGGGTAGGTGCGGCAAAGGGAATGGGAAGAGACACAGGGAGAAACAGAGGGGTGGAGGTGTGGGATGGGGGAAATGAGTGGTGGGATAAGGGTGGAAGGGGACTTTCGATGCGCCTCAAAAGGTCCATGGAGAGACATAAGTGAGTGGGTCGCTGCGTTGCAGAGTGCATTGTGACAGCAAAGGAGGGAGGCACCACCCAGGGAGACGTGCAGGCAAGCACACAGACCAAAGAGGGCAGGTGTGGCAAACAGACTAAGTGGCAAAGAAGAAAAGAGCAAGCACAGGGAGAAACAGAGGGGGTGTGGGGGGGGAGGGAGGCGGGGGGGGGGGGGGGGGGGGGGGGGGAGGAGGAACGAGGGAACAGGGATGATTGTTTTCAAGAAAACTCTGTGGGAGAAAGAAGAACGGGAAAAGAAATACAGACGGATGAGAACGAAAGCAAGACGTACCGGTCTCATCAAGTAAGATTGCCATGCGGAGAGAGAGAGCGAGGGACGGGCTTCAGCAAAGGCGGCAACAAGACAAGAATTGCCCATTTAATGTGATGAGACGATTCTCAAGTCGCCTCAAAAAGGGAGAAGGAAGAACGGGGGACGGGCTTAAGCAAAAGAGGCGACAAGACACAGAGGGGGATGTGCCCATTGAGTTTGACCGCGCGTGCCACAGAGGGAGCAGGGGAGGTTTTTCGGAGATGCTGTCTGGTGGTCTCTCTTGTCCAAGTGCCTGCCTGCCAGGGACCCACCTTTGCCTGGCGGGTAACTGGGTCACCACCTAGTCAGATAACTGTGGGGGACTTCACCACTGGCGCGTACGTACCACAGAGGGAGCAGAGCCCGTGGGCGGATAGGAGATGTTTCGGGGGATGGCTGTCATAGTGCCATGGACTCACGTTGCCTGGCAGGTAACCTGGTTACCACACTAATCAAGTAACCGGAAGGCATCACTAATGGCGCGTACAACGTACCACAGAGGGAGCGGAGCCAGCAGGTGGGTAGGAGATGTTTCGGGGGATGGCTGTCTGGTGGTCTCGCTTGTCAAAGTGCCATGGCCCCACCTTGCATGGTAGGTAATCAGGTGACCATCTATAACCATCTACTCAGGTTACTGGAGGAGATTACCATTTGCACGTACCACAGAGGGAGCAGAGCCGGCGGGTGGGTAGGAGATGTTGCGAGGAATGGCTGTCTGGTGGTCTCTCTTGTCAAAGTGCCATGGCCCCACCTTGCCTGGCAGGTGATTTCCCTGGGAGTAGAATGTGTGGGAGGAGGATGGGAGGATATGGAAGGTAGAAAAATGAGATGGGAAGAGGGCGCTTGTCCACATAGAATACCTCACCCCCCGCCCCGCCCCGCCCCCCTACCCCCTACGACGTGATATAAATGATGTTTTGAGACATCTCAAAAGGCAGTAAAACGAGATGGGAACGAGGGCATTTGTCCACATAGCACACTTCACTTCCCGCCCCTCCCCCCTATCCCCTATGCTTAGCGTGTCATAACGTGATAAAAGTGATGTTTTGAGACGTCTCGAACAAGGGCACTTGTCCCCATAAAATACTTCACCCCCCCCTCCCACGATGCCTTGCGTGTCATCAACAGAACCCTTTCTTACCCACTCTGTATGTGTGTTCTTATACCCACGTGTGTTCTTATACCCATGTGTGTTCTTATACCCATGTGTGTTCTTATACCCATGTGTGTTCTTATACCCATGTGTGTTCCTATACCCACGTGTGTTCTTATACCCATGTGTGTTCTTACACAGTACACCCATGTATGCTTACATTGAGGTCATAGTCACACACCTAAGTGTCTTGAATTCTGGCAGTTGGGAGGTCATGCAAAGTAGCATAACACTCCCTTCTCGGCAGGTTTGTTATTCTACCCATATGTGCTTACATTGAGGTCGTAGTCACAGCCATAGGTGTAGTGAATCATGTATGCGTCGCCTACTGATCTGTCCCAAGGAGGCTGCATGGAGGGAGGCATGGCATGGGAGAGGGTAATGAGATAGGTGTAGGGCAATGAGGTAGAGTGGGAGGGGAGAGGGGCATTGGGGTCATAGTCGCAGCCATGGGTGTGGTGAATCATGTATGCATTGCCTACTGCTCTGTCCCAAGGAGGCTGCATGGAGGAAGGCATGGGATGGGAGAGGGTAATGGGATGGGATGGGAGGTGAAAGGGGCATTGAGGTCGTAGCCACAGCCGTAGGTGTAGTGAATCATGTATGCATCGCCCACTGCTCTGTCCCAGGGAGGCTGCATGGGGGGAGAAGGCATGGGGGGCAGGGATGCATAAGCGCGGCATGGGATGGGAGGTCATGGTCGCAGGCTGACAGCCACAGCTGACAGCTGGGAGGTCGTAGCCACAGCCATAGGTGTAGTGAATCATGCATGCATCGCCCACTCCTCTGTCCCAAGGAGGCTGCACAGAGGGAACGAGGGGAGTGGGAGGGGAACGCGGGGTGAGGGAGGGGAGAGAGGGGCATGGGAGGCGAGAGGGGCATGGGCGAAAGTGAGGCGTATGGAGGGGAGGGAGGGGCATGGAGGGGAGAGAGGGGCATAGAGGGGAGAGAAGAGCATGGGAGGGAGAGAGGGGCATGGAAGGGAAGGAGGGGCACACACGCGGCGAGAGGGGCAGTCACAGGATCACCTGGATCATCCATTCCATTCCTTCCTCAAACTGTGCGGCGTGTATGTGTTTGCGCCCCTGTATGGACGATTTTTGAGACGTCTCAAATGTAGAGAGGGTATTTTTGAGACGTCTCAAAAATACCCTCTCTACACGTGGCTACACAGGCTCACCTGGATCATCCATTCCTTCCTCAGACTGTGCGTGTGTGTGCGTGTATGTGTGTGTGCCCCTGTATGGGCGATGCTGTGGCACAGCAGCTGTACCCCAGCATGGTTGATGCTGTAGCGCATGCAGTGTGCCTGTAGCGCATGCAATGTGCCTGTAGCGCATGCAATGTGCCTGCAGCGCATGCAATGTGCCTGTAGCGCATGCAGTGTGCCTGTAGCGCATGCAGTGTGCCTGTACACCCCACCCCAGCTCCACCTGCCGCTAGCCACGAACAGTCACCACGGTCCACCACCAAACCACCCCAGCCCCTAACCCAGTCCTTTCTTAGGATGTGCGTGTAGCACGTGTACCCCAACATGGCTGATACAGTACTGGCAGATGGGGATGGGGTGTGAGCTGTCGAAGCCGAACAGGTGGGCTGCGGAGGCCAGTATGAACGTGTATGAAGAGCCAGTTCTTAGAGAGCCAGTATGTGCGTGTAGTACGTGTACCCCAGCATGGCTGATACAGTGCTGGCAGATGGGGATGGGGTGTGCACCACCTATCCATCACCAGGTGACTTTTGAGTCGACTCAAAAGGCAGATGGGGATGGGGTGTGTACCACCTATCCTAAGCCAGCAGCCATCACCAGCGTCTACAGCTCCCCACCCCACCTCACTAACTTGCCTGGATCATTCTTGAGGCGCCTCTAGAGTTAGCTCACCTGGATCATCCAGTCTTTTCTCAGGATGTGCGTATATCCCAGCATGGCTGATGCTGCTGTGGCACATGCAGTGTGCCCTAGTGCCCCTGCACCAGCGCACCAGCGCACCAGCGCACCAGCTCACCAGCGCACCAGCGCACCAGCTCACCAGCTCACCAGCTCACCAGCTCACCAGCTCACCAACGCACCAGCTCACCAGCGCACCAGCTCACCAGCTCACCAGCTCACCAGCTCACCAGCTCACCCGCTCACCCGCTCACCCGCTCACCAGCTCACCCGCTCACCCGCTCACTAGCTCACTAGCTCACCAGCTCACCCGCTCACCAGCTCACCAGCTCACCAGCTCACCAGCTCACCAGCTCACCCGCTCACCCGCTCACCTGCTCACCAGCTCACCCGCTCACCAGCTCACCCGCTCACCAGCTCACCCGCTCACCAGCTCACCAGCTCACCCGCTCATCAGCTCACTAACTCACCGGCTCACCGGCTCACCTGCTCACCAGCTCACCAGCTCACCTGCTCACCAGCTCACCAGCTCACCAGCTCACCCGCTCACCTGCTCACCAGCTCACCTGCTCACCAGCTCACCCGCTCACCAGCTCACCAGCTCACCAGTGTTAGATTATACTACTCTTCTGTATCCTGCATTGATCCTATGAACCCTAGGATAGAGATAGGCACCCAAACATAGTTTGGGTGCACAACTAGGGTTAACCCTAGTTGGGGGTTGGAACCCAACCTTGGTCCAATTATTGGCCTCCAAGGTTGGGTTGGGAAATTATTGGCCCCCCCAATAATGTTGGCCCACTTTTGGCCAACATTATTGGGACCCCCCAATAATTCTCCAACCCAACTTATTGGTGGGGGGCCAATAATGTTGGCTAGGTATAGGGTTGAGCAAAAACACGAACACCTGTTCGGTTCACCTCGATCGTGTTCGAGGCGAACTGAACAGGTATTTTTTTTTGGCTTAAAATGTTCGCCGAACAGTGTTCGAACGTGTTTGGGCCGCTGCTGCAATTTGCCCGCGACGAACACGAACAGTGTTCGAGGTTCGCCCGAACACGCCTTCACAGGCGAACGGCGAACACCATTTTTTGCTCAAAGTGTTCGCCGAACCGAACAGTGTTCGGTTCGGCAGACGAAGGTGTTCGTGTAGGGGCGAACATGAACACGTTCTTGTTCGCCACTTGCTCATCCCTAGCTAGGTAACCAACCAACCCCCCCTCCCCTAGCTTCCACTATGTAAACCCTCATGATTCTTTATCAAGTGACTGGTTCAATTCTAACATGCTATCAGAGCTCTTACGGCTAACGCCGCTCCTAGGACCCCTCGCGCCACTTAGCGCACCTCATGCCGGCTCTGCCGCACCTCTCGCGCCACTTAGCGCACCTCTCGCGCCACTTAGCGCACCTCTCGCACCACTTAGCGCACCTCTCGCGCCACTTAGCGCACCTCTCCCCGGCTCTGCCGCGTCTCTCGCGCCACTTAAGCGCACCTCTCCCCGGCTCTGCCGCGCCCCTCGCGCTACTTAGCGCACGTCCGTCGTCTCTGCCGTGCCCCTCGCGCCATCTCGGCGCTCCTTTCCTCGCCTCGATCGTCCGCCGCGACGAATGCGACCGTCAGCCGCGGACGCGATGAACGCGGCCGTCAGCCGCGGACGCGATGAATGCGGCCGTCAGACGCGGACGCGACGAACGCGGCCGTCAGCCGCGGACGCGACGAACGCGGCCGTCAGCCGCGGACGCGACGAACGCGGACAGCCGCTGCGAACGGGGCGAGCGCGGGCAGCCGCCGCGGACGCGACATCCGCGGACAGCCGCTGCGGACGGGGCGAACGCGGGCAGCCGCCGCGGACGCGACATCCGCGGACAGCCACCGCGGACAAGGCGAACACGGGCAGCCGCCGCGGACGACGCGACATCCGCGGACAGCCGCCGCGGATGGGACGAACGCGGACAGCCGCCGCGGATGCGACATCCGCGGACAGCCGCCGCGGACGGGACGAACGCGGGCAGCCGCCGTGGAGGCAGGCAGCAACCGCGAACGCGACCAGACGGGGGAGTAACCAGCCGCGGACAGCACGCAGCTCATCTCCACCACTGACCGCGCCGTCCCTTAGGACAGCGTCGTCACCTCTAGCACCTCCACCCTCCCCTCCTCCCTCCCTCCCTCACTCGTCATGGCGGACGAACTTTCGTCACTTGAGCTCGCCTCAATAGACAAACTCGAGCTCCTCAACGGCACCACCGCAGTCAATTGGGTGTCGTTTGAAGAGAGCCTCTTCACGTACCTTGGCTCTGTTCGAGTGGGAGATTATTGCCTCCTTGACGTCGTCCTCGAAACGCCTCACGGCCTCCCTCCCACCCCGCCCCTGCTCCTCCCCCCCTGACGCCCCACCACTCCCGACCGAACCCGCCCCTCAAGCCCCCATCCTAGGGGCTTGGGAGGATGACCCTGACAGGTGGGCTCGCACCCTCAACAAGTACAACAAGGAGCGGGACGACTATGTCATCTAGGGCAGAGCACACGAGGCTGCCGTCGCCGGTCACGAAGCTGCTATTGCAAAGCTTGCAGAGTTTCAAGCCACCTCCGAAGCATACTCTACTAACCTTCGTAAGCACCACTTCGATACTGCTGCATGGCGCATTGCTGACCGCCGTGCACTCACTGCCCTCTTCTCGTGCATTCCCTCCTCTCTTAAACGTGACCTTCGCCCTCCATCCTCCCCCTCTCTCTGGAAGTCTCTCTCCTCTTAATATGATCGTCAGGACTTACGTTCCCTCCTCTCCCTCTTTCGCACCCTTGACTCCTCCCTCAATGCCGCCTCCTTCGCTCGGCGTCTCACGGATACTGCGCAGCGCCTCAATGATCGAGGCATCTTGATCTCAGACACCCTTCTTACAGCACGCATCCTTGACAGCCTCCCACCCACCTATGACACTTACCGCATCAACTTCACCTCCCAGCACATTCGTCCTCCTCCTATGGCTGTTACCATCGACTGGCTCCTTGACAGTGAGGCTGACCTCCTACGTGACTCTGCAACGGTCAATGCAGTCCACGCTCGCAAAGGAACCACTAACGCCGGCGGAAGCAGCAGCAGTGGACCTGGACGTGGCTCAAACGGAGGTGGTCGAGGAGGTGGTCGCGGAGGCGGACGAGGAGGGCGCACTGGGGCTACGTTGGCAGATACGAGTCCCTTGGTATAATACGCTAGCGTATTATACGCTGGGTATATACGCGGTACGCCAGGGATGGCGTACTGGTGATACGCAAAAATACGCTGGGCGGGCAGGTAAAACTTTTTTCCCAAGCAGGGCTAAAAAAACCTGTTTCAGGGGGGGGGATTGTTTTCCAAGAACACAAGTCATAATTTAAATTTCATAAATGTCCAGAAATACATATTTGGGGCTACTTCTCCCCATATATCCCCACCCCACCCCACCCTCTAGCTAGCTTCCCCACAACCGATTTCCTTGCGGGGCTTTTCCACCACCACACCTTCCCCATACTCATCCGCCAGCACTGCATCCTCTCCTTCCTCCCCCAGCATGTCATCCTCTTCCTCATCCATGTTATAGCCGGGGGGGATAGGGGCATCCGGGATGTTACCGGGCACAACCGTGCCGCCCCCATCTTTCTTGTACCAATTGTGCACAAGGTTCCAGTTGTGCGCAATGTAGACGAGGTCCGCACACTTGGCGGACCCGAGCCGGTTGCGGCGGGCGGTGTGGACGCCTTCCCACTGCGCCCAGCCACGCTCGCATGGGGAAGCCGAGACGGGCTGAGTGAGCACCCGGCATGCAAGGGCGGCAAGCTCAGGATACTTGGTGCTGTGCCACGACCACCACTGCACCATGCTCATCTCCCCCTTCTTCACTGCCTCCCTTGCAGAAATGGCGCCCGGCTTGCCAAAGCTACCCTCCATGTTGATGTAGGCCAGCAATGCCTCCTGCAGCACAAGGGAGGCGCGGCGAGGGGCGCCATCCTTGCCACGCTTGAAGGTCTTGTTGTCATAGTGGCGCTCGATGTAGTCCTTGAACACCCGCGTGCACTCCACATCGTTCCTGAAAATTCCCTCCTCCTGGTTGGCTGGATTCAGGATTCGGCCAACCACATGCATGGGGCAGGCAAGAGAGTTGTCCCACCTGTCCTTCACAATCTTGGTGATGTCTGCCCTCTCTGTCCGAGTCAAGAAGTCACTTGAAGCGTTGAGCTTGTCATTGATGTCCTCGGTAAGCTGTAGCATGATGTCATACAGCTTACCCATCATGCCTTTCGCGGAAGAGTCCGTGGCCCGCATGGCCTTGAATGACACCGCCATGAGAGAGGTAAAGAACTCCGCCACCCCCCACCACTCCTCATCCATCACAGCAGCCCTGAATTTCTCAACTGCTGTCTTCCTATCCTTGTCCGCCGCTGCCCACACCTTCCACTCGTCGTTGAGCACCATCGCCGCCAGCCCACTCCTCACCTCACATAGCCGGGCCATGGCTATGTATTGTGTCCCGAACCTAGTTCCCGCAGGCTTGAGCACCTGCTTCCCCCCCACTTTCTTCATATAGGCACGGGTAAAGTGGTGGTTGCGCACGAAGGTAATCATCTCCCCTCCTTTCTCTACACGCCCCTTCGCCCATCCCATTTTGCCCATATCTTCCATCATCAGGTCCAGGACATGCGTGGCACATGGCACATGCTCAATGTGCGGCCATGTGCTCGCAATCTTCTTGGCGGCCGATGCATAGTTGCTGCCACCATCGGTGCAGACCGCCACCACATTCTCCGACCCCACCTTATCATTGTCGGGGCGAAGAAGGCTGGCGATGTACCCCCCGGTCTTCTACTCCATGTCGCAGTCCACCGCCTGCTCGAAAACTGCGCCGGAGTTGTTGACAAGGAGCACGTTGGCCTGCGGGCGGCCACAACGGTCGGTCATCATGTCCGACGACACCGTTACCCCGTCCCGCTTCCAGCTCGCGGCAACGGGGGCGAACGCGACCTCCACTTTCTGCCGCACCTTCAAGCCTGCCCCTCCAATGTAGCGCCTCTTAGGAGGGACGTACCCAGGTCCAGCGCGCGCAATGCACTGGACCACGTAGCGGAAGACCGGATCGTCCGCAATGCACTCTGGAAGTTTCAGCGCCGCTAACAGAAGGCAAAGCGCGTTATCCGCGTCCTCCTTGGCGCACGTCGCCTCATTGCCAAAGAAATCCGTAATTTTGCTCTTTTTCTCCGGGTTTCCACTGACAGCGTCAAGCGCGGAGTGAATTGCAGCAGCGGCCGCCCCTCGCTTCAAGTCCTGCTGTTCCGCCTTGGTCTCGTACATGCCACGGACTTCATCGCGGACTGCCGTGGGCGCGTCCTTGCATAACGCCACAGCGCGCTTCTCCTGCCCTTTCCATGTCGCGAGATGGATTGCACAGCGATTTGTTCCGCTCTGGAACTTCTTGCCACAGAACTTGCACAGCTTGGGGTTGCCTTTGGTGTGAAACGGAATGAGGAAATGTTTCAGAATGGGGTGAGATAGTCCAGCCTCAACAGGATCCGTGTTGACGGTAGTAGAGCCATGGACAGAGGTTGGATTGTTGTTCGTCGAAGTACTAGGAGCTAAGCCCGACGCCATGGCGCACTACGTAAGTCTAACTAACGAAGAAGAGTGGAGAAATGCGGGAAGGAAATGGAAGAGCATTTGCGCAACGTCGACCTATACGTGCAAACGATGGAAAGTTTGGATTTTGAATTTCAAAGTTCAGAAGTGGGGTTGGGCACATGAGCGAAGTCGCGGTAACACTTCGCGACTTCGCACATCGTCGCGAAGTTTTTCAATTTCGGATTTGTTTTTTTCGCCGGGCTGCCCAGCCGTATTTTCGCGAATTCAGAGCGTATCAACGTATCACGCATATACGCTAGCGAATATACGTGATACGCCAGCCTTTCAAGAGCGTATCTGCCAACATAGCACTGGGGTACGCGGCGGACGTGGAGCAACTACTCCATCCACAAGTGGGTTTCCCTCGTGCCAATACGTCATTCGTCAAGGCCCCAACAAAGGTCAGACCTGCAACCAGACCACTCACCCAACTGAAACGTGCTTCAAAGCCCTCATTGATGAATGGCTTGCACGCGGCAACACAGGCCCCCCTCCACGTTGGAACACCATCACCCTTCGCCCCACCCCTCATGACATTCGCACTCTCTCCACCTATGCCAATGCTATTAATGAGTCTTCATTCCAGTACTCCGTGTCCTCCTCCTCCTCTCAGCCTCTTGAGTTCATCCTTGACAACGGAGCCACACACACGGTCCTTCGTGATGCAGGCACGCTCCTCCCTCTCTCCACCCCCTCCACAATCTATGGGGCTGACTCAAGCTTTGCCATACAAAACCGTTACACCTCCACACTCCCCTGTCCCCTCTTTCCCTCAGGTACCGTCACAGGTCTCTATATCCTCTCCTTTCGAAACAACCTGGTATCCCTTGGTGCCCTCTCAATAGCAGGTGTCACGCCCTATTCCCTGGTCACGCAGCATATTGTGACTTATTTCACACCTCCTCCGGTCGCTTCCTCTGCCATGTCCATCGGTGCCCCTCCACCCACATGTACACCTTCCGCATCCTCCGTCCCACCCTTCACCAACTCTCCACAGCCCATCCCCCCGCCCCTTCCCCTCCTCTCGAACCTCCCGCCCCCCCTCCCACTCCCCCTCCCCCTCCCCCTCCCCCTCCCCCTCCCCCCCGCCCCTTCCCCTCCCCCCCCATCTAACTCACCCTCCCCCTGTCACTGTCGTGATCTCACACACCCCACCATTCTCCTCCACCATCGCCTAGGCCATCCCAACTTTACCACCCTTTGCCGATCCATCCTCACTAAACTCCTTGACGGTCTCCTCCTTACCCTTTCCCCCCTCCCCTCCTTGCTTAGTTTGTGTTGAAAGCAAGCTGAAGCAACAACCACACACGAGTAGCCCCTCTTTTTCCCTCCAACCCCTTGATCTCGTCCACATGGATCTTTGGGGCCCTAGCCCTTCCCCCACCAGGCAAGGACATCGCTATCTCCTCATCCTGGTGGATGATCACAGTCGTTACTCCTCCGTCACCCTCCTTCGTACGAAGGCGGAGGCCCCGGCTGCAATCACTGCCTGGGCTGAACAAGAACGCAACCACTTCGGTCGGCCTGTTCGCCGCTTCCATTCCGATGGAGGCGGTGAGTTCCTTAACCGCACCTTGTCCTCCTACTGCACCTTTCACGGCATCCTCCACACCTACACTCACCCTCACTCCCCTCAGCAGAATGGTGTGGCGGAGAGCCGCGTTCGGGAGATCACCAAAACTGCTCGGTGCCTCCTCGTGCACGCCTCCTGCCCACCTTCTCTTTGGGGCTATGCCATCCTTCACGCTGCCATCCTCACTAACCTCTACCCCCACCCTTCCCGTCCCACCTCCACCCCCACCGAACTATGGACCTCCAGCAAGCCTGACATATCTCCTCTACGTGTCTGGGGTTGCAAGGCGTATGTCCTCATACACCCTGCCGATCGCTCACGCGCACGTGGAAAGCTTGCGTCCCGCACACTCCTCTGTGTCTACCTTGGACACAACTCCAACTCACCTGACTACCTTTTCCTCCACCCCCCCTCAGGCCGCCTCATCCGTAGTCGGGACGTGGTCTTTCCCGTACTACACCTCCCCCTCCGCCCCTAACCCCCTTCCCCCATTTCCCCGGCCCCTTCTCTGGACTGACACCCTGCCCCTCCTCCCGTCCCCTGCCATGACCCCTCCCCCCGCTCCTCCACCCCTCCCCCCTCCACTCTCCTCCAGCTCCTCCGGCGACATCCTTAACCCACCCCTCCCCCCCCTCCCCCTCCCACTCCACTACCTCACCTTCCGTTGCAACTCACCTCCCTCCTCCTCCCCCTCCTCCACCTCCCCCGCCCCCTTCCCCTCCATCCCCCTTCCCCTCCTCTAATCCGCCCCCCCCTCCGCCTCCCCCCCCTCTTCCCCAACGCCCCTCCCATACCCTTGTCCTTCCCCGCTATCCCCACACCCGCTCCCTGGACCCCATCCTTGGTTCCCCACAGACTCCCCCCCCCTCCCTCCTCGCCCTCACCGGTACTTCCCTCCCACCCCGCTTCAGCCCCCTCACTCCAGATCCACTGCGCAACCGCTTCACGCTCTTGACAGCACCACCGCGCAGCCGAGCAGCAGCACTTCCATGTCGCAGACCCTACCTTCAGCGCAGCTGTCTTGCATCTTCACCACCCCCTCTTCCTCCTCTCTCTCCTCTCCTCTATGAAGACACCCACGACGAACTCCTCTTCCTCCACCTCCTCGCGCCCTCCATCACCCCCATCGTCCGCACCATGGCAGGCACTCCAGTTCTTCTCTTCTCGGGCACCCCCACCATCTTCGAACCCACCACGTACGAGGAGGTAATTGCCTGCCTCGACGCACCGCTCTGTATTGAAGCCATGGTCAAGGAAAGCAACGCCTTCATCCGCAACCGCTCCTTCATCGACGTCCCTCGCCCTGCCAAGACCAATGTCGTCTAAGGCAAATGGCTCTTCCGTGTCAAGCTTCTCCCTAGCGAAGACCCTGTCTACAAAGCTGGCTATGTGGCGAAGGGCTTCACGCAGAAGAACGGCTTTGACTTCTTTGAAACATACTCACCCACTACTACCCCACCGGTAGTTCGGGTGTTCCTCGACTTCGTCGGCAGACGCGGAATGCTGCTACACTCCATAGATGTCACTACCGCCTTTCTCCAAGGCGACCTACACGAACTCATCTTCATAGAACGCCCTAAAGGCTTTCATGCTCCACATGACCCGTCCACCGTTTCGAAGCTGCTGCGGCCCGTCTACGGCCTCAAGCAGGCACCCCGGGAGTGGCATGCCAAGCTCTCATCCACCCTTCGCGAGCTTGGTTTTCGCCCCTCCCGAGCGGCCTCCTGCCTCTTCGGACGGCTCCGTCACCTTTCTACATTCTCGTCTACGTCGACGACATGCTACTAGCCGCCGACACAGATGCTGAGATGCAGGAGGTCAAGGACGAACTACAGCGTCGGCTCGCCTGCAAAGACCTGGGGGAGGTTCGCAACTACCTTGGCATGGAGATCACCCGCGACCTCAAGGCCAAGACTATCTCCCTCTCTCGGTCCTTCTACATTGAGAAGGTCCTTGAGAGGTTTGGAATGTCAAAAGCCAAGCCCATCGCCACCCCGCTTGCAGTTGGGCACCAGCTCGCGCCCCCTAACACCCCCACCGACTCCTCAAACCCCTATGCAGAGCTTGTCGAGGCCCTGATGTACGCCATGGTCTGAACCCGCCCCGACCTTGCCTACCCAGTCAGTGTTCTGGCGCGATTCGTTGGTGTCGGCAAGCACACAGAGGAACACATGACGGCGGCCCGCCGTGTCCTACGCTACCTTCAGCACACAAAGGATTACACCCTCACCCTTGGTGGAGCAGACCCGCCGGTTCTCACAGGCTTCAGCGACTCGTCCTGGGCGGACTCACAGCCTGACCGTCGCAGCTCACAAGGATATGGCTTCACCCTTAGGAGCGGCCTCATTAGCTGGCGCTCCACCCGCTCCTCCTCCATCGCCCTCTCCTCCTGCGAGGCTGAACTTTACGCGGTCACGATGGCAGCACAGGAAGCACGCTGGCTCAGCTATCTCCTCACAGACCTTGGCTCACCACAGCCCTGTCCCACTCTCTGGTGTGACAACGCCAGCACCATCCACCTCACCAAAGAAGCTGTGTTCCATGGTCGCTCCAAGCATATCGAGCTCCAACACTACTTCGTCCGCGATCTTGTCCAGGATGGTCACATTACCGTGCGGAAAATCGACTCGTCCTCCAACCCCGCGGACATATTCACTAAAGCCCTCGACCGCGCTACTCACTTGGCACTCTTGCCCCTCCTGGGCCTTGCTCCCCATGGTGACTGATTCAGGGGTTGCTGTCTTATCTCACCCAAACATAGTTTGGGTGCACAACTAGGGTTAACCCTAGTTGGGGGTTGGAACCCAACCTTGATCCAATTATTGGCCTCCAAGGTTGGGTTGGGAAATTATTGGCCCCCCCAATAATGTTGGCCCACTTTTGGCCAACATTATTGGGACCCCCCAATAATTCTCCAACCCAACTTATTGGTGGGGGGCCAATAATGTTGGCTAGGTAACCAACCAACCCTTCTTCCCCTAGCTTCCACTATGTAAACTCTCATGATTCTTAATCAAGTGACTGGTTCAATTCTAACAACCAGCTCACCCGCTCACCAGCTCACCCGCTCACCAGCTCACCCGCACACCAGCTCACCAGCTCACCAGCTCACCAGCTCACCCGCTCACCTGCTCACCAGCTCAACCGCTCACCCTCACCCGCTCACCAGCTCACCCACTCACCAGCTCACCCGCTCACCAGCTCACCAGCTCACCCGCTCACCAGCTCACCCGCTCACCTGGATCATCCAGTCTTTTCGGAGGATGTGCGTGTACCCCAGCATGGCCGATGCTGTGGCATAGCCGTACCTGTGTGGGGGGGTGAGGCGGCAGGGGATAACAGAGAGAGAGGAGGATAGGAATACATGTGGCCATGCTGCGTGTACCCCAGCATGGCCAATGCTGTCGCATAGCCGAACCTGAGGGATGGGGGGCAAGGGGGGGGTGGGGGGGGGGGGGGGAGGAGGGGGAAACAACAGAAGCATGGGTGACTGGTGAATGCATGGGTGCATGGGTGCGTGGGCCCCAGCATGGCTGATGCTGTGGTATAGCCGAACCTGTGGGATGGGGGGCAGGGGGCGAACATCACCCATTGCAGGAGGCAGGGGGGAACAACCATAAGCATGGATGAATGAATGCGTGCATGCATGCATCGGAGTGTGTAACGCAGCCTTGCTGATGCCATGGCATACCCATACCCTGCGGGGATGGGTGGCAGGGGGGACCAACCATAAGCATGGGTGCATGCACCATACCATGTGTTACAGATGCTGCCGGGTGTTTTTGAGAATTCTCAAAAACACCCTGTTACAGCCCGGTCATTCTGGCTGCCCTAATGCACCTACCTCATGTCACCCCACCCCACCCGATCCCGCACCACACCACCCAGCCTTACATCTCCAGCACCCATCCAAACTCCTCATCAATAGCCGGGTCGTTCTTGCTACCCATGCTGCACATGCTGCCTCATGCTAATACATCTACCCCAACCCACCCCACCCCAGCCCACACCACCCATACTTACATCTCCAGCACCCATCCGAACTCCTTGTCAATCTCAGGGTCGCTCTTGAACTGGAGCGACACGTTGTGCCACAGGGGAGCAATTTTGAGCAGGTCTTTCTGGTGGGGGGTGGTGGTGGTGGGTGGTGGGAAAACGGGAGAGCGCAAAGAGACGTGAGGAGAAGAGAAGGTGAGGGAGGCCGAGGAGAATGCAAAGAGACGGTGGTATTTGGAGGGGGGAGAACCTCAGGTCGCTTCTGAGAGATGGTGGTTGGGCAAGGAGAGGAAGGGCAAAGAGAGGAAGGGCAAGGAGAGGAAGGGCAAAGAGAGGAAGGGCAAGGAGAGGAAGGGCATAGGGAAACGGTAAGTGGGGCAACATTAGGAAGATGGAAAAAACGGTGGTATCTGAGGGAGGGAGTATCTCCGGGTCGCTCTTGAACTGCAGAGACACGTTGTGCGACAGGCGGGAGATTTTCAGCAGGTCTTTCTGGTGGGTGATGGGATGGGTGGTGTGGGAGTGGGAGGGGAGTGCAGAAAGCGGAAAGGAAGGGTTGCAGCTGAGAAAACACAATGAGGCAGCAGCACCTTGTGCCACAGGCAGGCAATCTTGAGCAAAAATAGGAGGAAGTCAGAATTATGCGATTGCAGGTAGACTCACGTTTCTGAATAGTCCAGGTAAGCTCACCTTCTTTATAATCACGGGAGAGTTGCCAATCGGATCGATGTTTGTGATTGGTCCTTTCTCCGCAGGGTACCAGCGTCTCAGGAACCCTGGAGAGTGAGAGGGGTGGAAAGGGGTTAGCATGCGGTGAAGAGCGATGCTACTGGGGGATGAGGTGGTGGAGAATGGTCCTTCCTCAGCATGTTACAACTGCCTCAAGAACCCTTGGAGAACAAAACGGGTGGAACTTGGAAGGGGGTTGAACGCGGTGAAGCACGGTGGAGAGGCGGGACGAGGTGGTGGAGATTGGTCGTTACGCAACCTGGCTTAAGGGCAGAGAGGGTTGGGATTGGAGAGAGTGGCAGGGTTCAGGGTAGGGGGATGGCCACGTGTAGAGAGGGTTTTTTCTTCACTCACTCACTCTCTCGTCAATCTCCCCCTCACTTTTTACTCACGCACTTGGTCCTCGGGCACGATGTACAACAAGGGGAAGGCGGGTCCGAGAGACTCAAACATTGAACATTGGTTCTTCACTCACTCCCTTCACACACTTCCTCTCTCTCAACTCACGCTCTTGGTCTTTGGGCACAATGTAGAAGAAGGGGAAGGCAGCAGGCAGCATGTCGGACGCCAGGTTGGGAATGGGCTTCAGAATGATGTGATCTGGCTCAGCCATCCACACGTACCTGCGAAAGCATGGGGGTAATAGAGGGGATGGCAACATGGATGTATAGACGAAGGGGAAGGCAGCAGACAGCATGCGAGGTTGGGAATGGGCTTCAGAATGATGTGATCCGGTTCGGCCATCCACACGTACCTGCACAGAGCCACAGGCACATGGTGGGAAGGGAGAGCAGTATGGATGGGATAGGCACACGGTCAAAGAATGGATAGCAGCATGGCCAAAGCAGCAGGCAGCATGTCAGACACGAGGTTGGGAATGGGCTTCAGAATGATGTGATCTGGCTCGGCCATCCACACGTACCTGCACAGACACAGGGGTACGGGAGGGGATAGATAGATCATAGCAGTGTGAATCATCACACCGTGAGAGAGGGGTTAGCTGCGTGGATAGATGAAGGGGAAGGCAGCAGGCAGCATGTCAGATACGAGGTTGGGAATGGGCTTCAGAATGATGTGATCCGGTTCGGCCATCCACACCATCCAACACACACAGACGCCTGCATGCTTGCACTCACTCTTCCTCGATCTGTGCCTCCTGTATCCACTGCACGAACGCCCATAATGACTTTCGTTTTAGTCGACTCAAAGGCGACTAACCATCCAAACACACACAGAAGCATGCATGCTTGCACTCGCTCTTCCTCAATCTGAGCCTTCTGTATCCACTGCACGAACGCCCACACATGGTGACTGCTGAGTTGACTCAGGACTGACTAACCAACGAACCAGCACAGGCATGCGTGTGTCTGTGTGTTTGTGGGCACTCACTCTTCCTCGATCCGAGCCATCCGTATCCACTGCACTCACTTTTTGCAACCATCACCACAGATTCTGCAGGCATGCACTCACTTCTTGCAACGATCACCACAGATTCTGCAGGCATGCACTCACTTCTTGCAACCATCACCACAGACCCTGCAGGCATGCACTCACTTCTTGCAACCACCACATGCATGCATGCATGCATGCTCGCACTCACTCTTCCTCGATCTGAGCCTTCTGTATCCACTGCACAAACGCCCACGGTCGATTCAGCACCACGTAGCCCTGCGAGAAGGAAGGCGGGAGGGGGAGCAGGAGGAGGGGAGGGGATTGGGGTGCGGGGGGAGAGGGGGAACGGGACGAGGGAAGGGAGGATGAGATGAGTTGAATCAAAAGTCACTGCACGAACGCCCAAGGCCGACTTGGCACAAGATAAGACGGGAAGAGTAATGGATGGAGGGGAGGGGAGGGAGGGGGAGAACGCGGGGGGCGAAAGAGGGGGGGGGGGGGGGGGGGGGGGGGAACGGAAGGGGGCCTTGGGTTGGGAGAACGGAAGAGGGGGGGATTCAACGTGATAAAAGAGATGTTTTGAGACGTCTCAAAACATCTCTTTTACCAAGGAAGGCGTTGCATCACGACGACTCAAACTGGCAATGGAGGAGGATAAGAAGGATAATAAACCAGACAAACAGTCAGCGGGTTCAGCTGGCTGGGCTTAAACTTCTAGAGGCAGCGGATCAATGACAACCGTCGGATGCTCATCCATCGTGTTGTCCAGCTTTTGAGATTATTGAATGCTTTAGACGACTCTAATCTTGAGACGTCTCAAAGCCTTTTGCTGACCTTATCCATGCCCGGAGGCAGCGGATCGACGACGACGGTGGGAATCTCGTCCATCAGGTTGTCCGGCTTCTAACAATGTGACACGTTTCAATGCCTTTTGCTGACCTTATCCATGCTCCGAGGCAGGAGATCGACGACGACTTTTGGGCGCGCCTCAAAAGGCAAATTAAACTTCAAACTTCAGCTGACCTTATCCATGCCCGGAGGCAGCGGATCGACGACGACCGTTGGAATCTCGTCCATCAGGTTGTCCGGCTTCCCCGAGTGCAGCACGCGGGTGAATCCCCCCATCTCCGATTCAGGATCGTTCCGGTACTTGTTATAGTAGAAGTACATGATCCGAGACTGCCACTTGGTGTACGGCGAGTCGTTACACGTCATCGCCGTGTGGAAATACCGCTTCTTTTTCACACCGGAGCTCGGACCTTCCGGCCGTTTCACCACTGCCGAGCCTCCATCCGAGCCTACGGAATCCGAACCAGAGCCGCTGGTTTGGGGAAGTGGTTTTCCGAGAAGCGGTCGACCACCTTTTTGAAGGTGACTACCACTGAAGGTGGCTTTACCGAGGGAGCTTTTAGAGCGGATAGAGATGCGTTGACGCGTGGTGCTGAGGATCATGCCGACGACATTGTAGGAGGCGACGAAGGCAGAGATCGAGATTATAGCGAGGAACGGAATGGCGAAGCGAGACATCGTTGCTGTGCTTTTAACGAGTGCGACAGTAGCGAAGATCGTTCGCAAAAACAATTTTAAGCCGAATCGCACCGCGAAGAATCCACGCGATCCGAAACCAGACTAAACAGTGGCTCAATAGGAGACATAGCCGTAGTGACAGGCGTCTTAGAGCATGTACTGTAAGGAAAACTGTCATCAACTGCAAAACAATTGATGCTGAGTCACCCTGTTTGAGGTGGCGAAGTCTAGGGATTGGTCTGGCAATTGACTGTGCGACACCTGACGTTTTTGCCTCTCAAGCAATTGCAAAACATTTCCCTGGTACATAAGACTTTCGGAATGCTCGCACAAATTGCTGGTATTCTAGCTTTGGCACCGAGCCAATTTCCGTGCCTGGTTGGTTCGGACACAAACTGCGATTTGTGTTTCCTTCGCACCCCTCGCCACACCCCTCGTTATTCTTTACACCTCGCCATCCAATCCTAACCAAGGTCAAGTCATCAACTGCAAAACAATTGATCTACGTGAGACCCTGGTTTTAAGTGCTATGTTTGAAGAGCTTATGAAAGATTTTGTTGAAGAGCGGTGTATTGACGATCCAGAACGGTGAGAAAGGGTTTGAGCAAACGAGCTTTGTTGTATGGAAGTGTGGAGGTCTGTGAGATGGGTGAAGCTGGCTTGGTAGGGGTGGGTGTGCTGACGGTTTGGGGCGTGTTCTGCAATGACATGGTAATAAAATTGGCCATTTTGCAATGGTACTGTAGTCCAAAAGTGTGCAAAGTTCCATCCATGACGTTCAGACCATCAACTGAAGAGTGTGGGCCAGCTGGTGCCCCAATTACCACTCCCCCCCCCCTTCATCCTCGCAACTGGTTACCAGGTTTTAATGCCTTGTCAACCGCTCAGCCCAGCAGCGCTGATTCCGAACTCTGGCGAATAGCCCAGCGAAGACGGGGTTCTCTCGACTCACCAAATCTCTAAACAACAATAAGCGTTTTCACCGCTTTGGAACACAAACGCACCAAACTTAACCGTGGTGCGCGCTACTATGTGAGCGAAGTTCACGGGTCTTTCAAGGTCATTCCACCATCACCAATCAACGATCACTGGAATGTGAATCAGACGCGACTAACGTGCCGTTTTGCCGCCAGTAATGTCAGCGACATTTGCGGAGAGTCTTTCACGCCGTTCATTCTTCGCGAATGCGAAATGGCGGTCTCTGCAGAGCTGGTTACCGGCGTCGCCCTTTGGCTGCTGCTCAATCTCCTCGTTCCCCTGCTCGTCAAGGTACTTACTTAGTACCTGACGTCTCAGATAAATCTCTTAAAGTTTTGTCTCAGATGACAAATGTCGTCTCAGTTGACGACTGGTAGAGCTGTTTTCCCTCGGCTGCTGCTCAATCTCCTCGTTCCCCTGCTCGTCAAGTTACTTAGTACCTGAGGTCTAATGAATATCAGATAACAAGTGTAGCCTCCTCAATTGACGTCTGGTAAAGCTGTTTGACTTACGAATCCTCAATTTCCTCGTTCCTTCTATCTTTAAGGTACTTACGCGACTCCTCATTTGATTTCTCTCTAGTGCCGTCTCAGCCGACGTCTGGTAAGCCGCCGTCCGGACATCCCAGTCAACCTTTTCCCCCCCACCTACCCTCCGCCCGCTCCCCCCTGCCCTCCGTCCATCCCCCCAGTGCGCGGAATTCTGTCTCGGCCCATCCCCCCTGCACTGGCGCTGGCTGAGCATACGCAGGAGGGGGGGGGATCTCAGTTGCACCAATGCACGAATTTCCCCAACCCTTCTTCCATTCCTCCTCCCCCTCCTCCCCCTCCTCCCCCTCCCCCTGCCCCCTTTCCATCCCCCCCCAGTGCGCGGAACTCTCTCTCCGCTCATCCCCCCTGCACTGGCGCTGGCTTCGGGGGGGCGGGAGGAGGGGGAGCCTCAAGCGGAAGCGCCGGGCAAGGGGAGGCGAATGTGATAGTAAGGGGGGAGAAAATACCCGAAGCGAATGTGCTAATAAAGGGGTTGGCGTGGGCTTGGATAGCAGCGTAGAGGAGGATGGGGGGGAAAGTGGGGGGAGAAGGGGAGGGGCGGATGGAGAGATGAGGGGGAGTAAGGGAGAGGCAGGGGGAAACGATGGGAGAGCACAGGGCGAAAGGGAGCAAGAAGAGGTTACCCTCACAAGTGGTGTTACATCCAGTATGGGGTAAGTTGTACACCTTCCTTGCTGAGTATATATATATATATATAAATATATATGTATATATAACACATACATATATTATCCCCCCTCCCTCCCTCCCTCCTTCCCCCCTCCCACCAGGTACATTCAGGTCCACACATGCGTCAACCATTGAATGTAACGCCTTGTCATGCTAGAAGGCACCGCAGAGGTTCAACCCCTCTTCCTCCATCCCTCACTCCCTTTTCCCTCCCTCCGTCCCTCCCACCACCAGGTACATTCAGGTCCACACCACGTGCTTCAACCCCTGGCTGGAGCGCCTTCGCATGCTGCCTGCCAAGTCACCTGCCAAGAGGTGAGTGGGGGCACATGCTGGGTTGCTGCTGCCCTTGCTCATGTTCTCGAGCGCGGTTGGTCGATTCGTTGCTCGTTTTGTTTTGTTGCTCCCTTGTTGCCTGAGCGAGCGCCTTCGTTTGATGGCTTCCAGCCTGCCAGATCACCTGCCATGCCAAGGGTGGGGTGGGCACATGCTGGGCTGAGCTGCTGCCAAACTTTTGCATGTTTTCTTTATCCTTGGTTGGTTGGTTGGTTGGTTGGCTGTTTTGTGCTCGTTTTGTTGCCAGAGCGCCTGCCAACCAGAATCACACCAAATCCTCCGCGTTCCAACAGAACATCTGAATCAAAGGATATGGAACTCATTCCTTATCCCTTCATTCTAGGTTGCTCCGTGCGTGGTTCACATGGGGGGTCATTGCAGCCTGCATCGCCTTCCTATTGGCCTCCCTGGTGCGTGCAATTCAACTTCTTATGTCTCGCTGCTCGTCTTTCATCATGAAGGCCCCTCATCAATCCCGATCCAACACAACTACTTCTATTTTTGCTGCTCATCTTACGCCATGTGTATGTGTTGCCTCCCATTAATCACGACGCGACACAATCCACTTTCCATAGTCACTTTCAGCTTGAGAACTGATCCAGTTCCTCCCTCTCTCTCTCCCTCTCTCCCTCCCTCCCTCCCTCCCTCCCTCCCCGCGCATCAGGTTCTACTATGGGATGGCCTCGTTGCTTCCCTCCTTTTCCCCCTTCTCCGATACCTCTCCACCTCATCTCAGCACCTGCAGGAAAATCAAGGCATTCACACTGTGGATCTCACTCACAACCACTCTCATTACAGTCACGCTCACTACAGTCATACCCCTTTTGCTGTAAACTCCTCTTTCGGACACTCCTCTGCTGCCGTCGACCTCTCTGGAACGGCTAGTGCTTTGGAAAACCATGCAGAGATGCAAGCTTCCCAAGTAGCGGAGACAGCTTCCCATGCAACTGCAAAGCAAGCAACCACCACTGCCCCAGCTGCAGCGCCTTCTTCTCTGCACGTGCTACAGCCTGTGGTGAGTGAGTGAGTGAGTGAGTGAGAGTGAGTGAGTGGGTGAGTGAGTGAGTGGGTGGGCGAGTGAGTGAAGTGAGTGGTTGAGTGAGTTAGCGAGTGGGTGAGTGGGTGAGAGCTGAATACCTTTCCTTGTGAGCATGTTTACCTTTCCTTGCTTCCATCCCTCTCTTCCTCCTTCAATCTTCCTTCACTCCACCTCCCCATCTCTTCTTCTCATCTCATTATTGTTTCCCGCCCCCCTCTGCTCCCCTCTTCCCTCCCTGCTCTTTTCCTCCCCCGACCCATTCCATATCTGCTCCTCACGTGGAGTAACAGCTGCCAGGTGTCAACATGCCATTGGCCGATCTCAGCTACCTCTTTATAGCCACGCTTATCAGCCTGGCGTGGCATGAGGCTGGGCACGCCGTAGCTGCTGCCGTGTGAGTGTAAGTCGGAGAGGGAAAACGTTGGTATAAGGTTAAGGGTAGAGGTCTCCTTATCAGCCTGGTGTGGCATGAGGCTGGGCACGCCGTAGCTGCTGCCGTGTGAGTTCCGTCCCGCTTGCATTTCAACATGTAGCTTGCTTACCTGTTCTTTCTCTCCCCTCTGCCCCCTCCCCTCCTCCCATCCACAGAGAAGGGGTGCGAGTGCAGCACGTGGCATGCTTCCTCCTCGTCCTGCTGCTCCCTCATCCCGTCCAATCTTGTACTTACCTTCCCCTCTTTTGTCCCTTCCCCATACCCTCCTTAACCACAAGGAGGGTGTGCGAGTGCAGCACGTGGCATGCTTCCTCCTCGCTCTGCTGCTCCCCGGAGCACACGTCGCGTTCCACCCCTCTTGCAGTTCAACGTGTGGCTAGCTTTCCCATTCTCTCCTCCCCCCTTGCTCCGCTCCCCATCCAGAGAGGGAGTGCGAGTGCAGCACGTGGCATGCTTCCTCCTCGCTCTGCTGCTCCCCAAGCACACGTGGCCTTCCATCCCGCCGACTTCCACGCCCTCCCTCCCTTTCGCCTGCTGCGAATCCTCTCTGCCGGCATATGGCACAACATGGTGGTGAGTGCTGGCATATGGCACAACATGGTGGTGAGTGCTGGATGGCTATCCTTTCAGCCTCACGTCACATCATTGTGCCTCACATCTGCTCCCTCCTGCGAGCACATGTGGCCTTCCATCCCATCTTCTCTCTGCCTGCCTCCTGCCCGCCTGCTGAGAGTGCTTTCCGCCGGCACAGTGGCGCAACATAGTGGTGAGTCTTGTGCATTGAGTGTCGAAGTAGAACAGGTGGGCTGCGGAGGCGCAACAGTGGCGCAACATAGTGGTGAGTCTTGTGCATTGAGTGTCGAAGTAGAACAGGTGGGCTGCGGAGGCGCAACAGTGGCGCAACATAGTGGTGAGTCTTGTGCATTTCTGCATGGCTTGGCACCACCCTCTCTTGTTTCCTCTCTTGTGAGTCTTCCAACCTTTTCACTTCCACTCCCTGCCTTCCCCTTGCCTGCTGAGAGTGCTTTCCGTCACCAGCTGGCGCAACATAGTGGTGAGTCTTGTGCATTTCTGCAATTTCTCCGTCTTGCGTCCCCACTCGTTCTGCAACTTCACCCTCACCCCGCTCGCCCCTCACCCTCTCTGTTCCCCTCCCCTCTCCCCTGCACCATCTCCCCACTCCCACCTATGCAGCTGTCTCTGCTGCTCCTCTCCTCTCCCCCTTTCTCCAAACCGCGCTCTTCCTTCCTCTCTACCCCATCTTATCCACCCTGTTCCCATCTTTCCCTACCCATCTGATCTGGCCCCACTCCCACCTATGCAGCTGTCTCTGCTCGCTCTGCTGCTCCTATCCTCTCCCCTCCAAGCGGTCCTCTTCCTTCCCCTCTACTCCCAGTCACCACCAGGCCTTAAGGTACGCCCCTCCCTGCATGTCCCCTTCCTCCCCTCTCCTCTTCTCTCATATCCCCTCCTTCCGTTTCCTTCCCATCCAAGCACTGCTCTTCTTCCGCTCTACTCCCAGTCCCCCCCCAGGCCTCAAGGTACGTCCCTCCCCGTATGTCCCATTTCCCAGTAAAGAACGACTCTGCGTTTGCTTCAAGCCGTGTGCCTCAAGCCGTGTAACTCCACCATGCCTTTCCCCCGTTTTAGTCACATATGACATCCGTGTGTGGTTTCTTCCCACCCCACCCCCAGGTTACATCCGTGCATCCGCTCTCCCCTCTCTTCAGTCACATTCGCCCAGGAGACTCCTTACTAGTACTTGACCACACTCCGCTTTCCTCTCCTGCCGACTACACTCACCTCCTCTCCCATCTCTCCCACCTCTCCCACGTCTCCTACCCTCTGCCTCCTTCGATCCCTCCCTCACCTCCTTCCCGTGGGTATTGCATTTCCCTCTCGGCCAATCACAAGCTGCCACCTGGATTCCTGACTCCTCCAGCCTTTCCAGCCAATGGTAGCATCCCACCAATAGCTTCATCTGGACCAATCCCCAGCTCTTTCCTAGAACCTTCCCACCAGCATCCTCATCATTCCAACATGGAGCCATTCCCACCACCTCGGCCAATCTCCTGTGATGCCTCGTTTCCTGGAACCATCCTTTTCCGGCAAGCTCCAGCTGGCGATGCGGAACCTTCCTTGCCGATTCCTGGCAGTGAACCGCACCAAGAGGAAGCTTCCGTTCAGTTTCCTGGTGATGGATCGCAGAACCAAGAAGAAGCTTCTCAGATGGTTCCTACTGCGGCATGTTTGCATCCGAGAGAAGTGGTGGAGGGAGGGAGGAGATGCGGATGGGGGTGGATGGGTGATGATGGGGAGGAGGAAGGGAAGGACGAGGGGAAGGAAGAAGGGAAGCAAGAGGGGAAGCAAGAGGGAAAACAAGAGGGGAAGCAGCAGCGTCAATGCGATAAGGTGAGTGTGAGAGATCATTGAGATGGATACCCTCAGAAAAAGCACTGAGAGATATTCTCTGCCTGCTCCCTAAATGCGCGTCTCTCCGTGCCTCTGAAGGACGTGCTCCTAAGAGCAAGCTCGTTATTTCGGGGGGAAAGGGGGGGGAATATGCTCTCCTCAGGACAAGCACTAGAGGACATGCATTTAGGGAGCAGCGTGACAAGGGGGGAGAAAATATGCTATCTGTTGTGTTTGAGTGGTTTGATTTTCTTTTCTTCTCTTCTCTTTTCTTTTCTTTTCTTTTCTTTCCTTTCCTTTTCTTTTCTTTTCTGGCCTGTATGTCATGCCAAAACCATCTTCTGCTCCTTTGTTGCTCTTTGTGCGGCTTCAAAACTCTTTCCTCTCGACATCATCCCATCATCCTCCCTTCCCTTCACCCTTTGCCCATGGCCAGGTTTCCACCTGCATGCATGGCCCCTGCACTTTTCCATCACCATCTGCTGCTCCTAGTACGGTTTCAGAAATCTTTCTTCTCTTTCTCCTTGTTTTGTCCTTCCCTCACGGCCAGGGATCCGTCTGCATGGCCCCAGTCCTTCCTCATCACCATCTGCTGCTCCTAGTGCAGTTTCAGCCCTCCCCCTACTCACCCTCCTCCTCCTCCACCTCTTCCTCCTTTTCCAGCTCCTCTCCTTCCTCCTCCACTTCCTCCACTCCCTCCTCTCTAGAGTTTGTGGGAACCATTGAGTCCTTTGCACAGGGCCTCTCTCTTTCTCCGTGGCATCCTCGCACACTCACTCTCCCTCTCACACTGCCTAACTTTGCACTGGAACACCGAAAATTGTTGCATGCACCAAGCCAGCCTGCTGCTGCTAGCATGCTGCAGAGAGAAGAGCAGCAGCAGCAGCGATGGCAACTAAGGAAACAGCAGCTGGAGCAGGGAAAGGAGCAGCAGCAGCACTGGCAGCAGGTGCTTCAGTCAGCAGGGAGAGGAGCAACAGCAGCAACTGCTGCAGCAACAGCAGAAAGAGCAGGATCAGCTGGAGAGCGAGAAAGGAGAAGAGCAGCATCATAACCGTTCATTTCTGTTAGCAGCATCGCCACCATCGATGGTTCAGATTTCAGCGCCATTGTGGGGCCCTGTGGTGGTGACACGTGTCGCTCTCTTTGTCTTCCACGTGTCCAATGCTCTCGCCCTCATCAACGCTGCTCCGGTGAGTATTATAAGTTACTTGTGATCAATTCAGACCAAAAATTGTAGCAGTATCGTCGCTTTTGCAAAAATCAAAGGATGTTGCGCTTAGGTGGCTGCGCTCCCTCATTCTCTACTGTTCCATTTCCTTTTCTCACCTCAACTTTTCATTTCCTTTACTGTTCTATTGGAGGTGATGTCGCTACAAGGAATCACCTCCAATGCCACTGTTGACTCTTGTATCTCCTTGTCTCCATTCCGTCCTCACTATAAAGTTTTCTTTCTCAACCAACACGCCCATAGCCTCTTCCTCCCATCCCATTCATCTATTTCGTCATCTGCCCACACCCCTTCCCCAACCTGTTACCGCTTGAATTTCCTCCTCAATTTCTTTCAAACCTCCTCCACCTGCTTCTCCCATTTCCCTCACATCCTCTCGCCTCACATCCACACCTCAGGCACCAACAACAAATCATTCGCCACCATCGTATTCTCACTAGTGTACTTTACGGTGGCTCTTTCCTTCTTCTCGTCTCCCTGACTCAATCTACTGCATCTATTTCTTCATTTCTACCCTCCCCTCTCTTCCCCTCTCCCCTCCTTCCTGTTCCCGTTCAGATTTTCTTCCTTGATGGAGAGGCCGTTCTCTCAGACTTCCTCCGCCTGGTTCTCCCTTTTCCCTCGCATCCTCTCTCCTCCCATCCTCTCTCCTCCCATCATCTGCACCTCCGTCACCAACAGCAAATCATTCGCCACCATCGTATCCTCACGAGTGTCCTTTATGGGGGCTCTTTCCTACTTTTCGTCTCCCTGGCTTCATCTATAATGTTTTCTCATACATGAACTGACCGGATTTCCTAGTCCCGACCCAAACATGTCATTACAATGTACCGCATGAGTGTATTCATCAGGCCCTCAGATTGGTTTGAGGGTATGCTGATGGATCAGCGTGCCCCTGCCAACCAGGTGTCCAAATCAGCGTTGGTGGTTTTCTTTATACTGATACTGTCAGTGTAATTTTTTTTCCTAAACTGAACCTGCAGTGTAAATAAACCAAAAAAGCAGAGCTGATGCAATAGTGCATGGATGCGTCCAAAGTTACCATTGTGACAAACAGCAGCACCAATACCGCATGCTGGCTGAATCTACCACTAACAAACTAGCTCATGTCATGTCTTCATCAGAAGAAACGCTCGCATCATCACCACTGCTACTGGCATCGTCATCACTCTCACTGCCATCGCCTGCAGAACCACACATGCCTTCGTCTAGGTCCTCCTCCTCCACCACCCGGCGGCCACTCCCCTTAACAAACTTGGCCTTGGCCCGCTCCTTCTCTGGCGCAGCTTGCTCCTTGCGCTTGCTGGGGCGCCTTTTCCTGGTGCTCCGCCAGATGTCCAGCACCTTATCCCACTCCATGTCGTAGTCGAGCAGACTCATTGCCAGCAAATCTCCCAGCTTGGCGTTGCAGAGACTCGTCCAGCGCCACGACTTGATCACATTCTGGCGGGGAAATCCGCGCTCGCACTCGACTGTGCTGAGAGGCAGAACAGCGACCGCAGCCCACAGACGGACTAAGTTGGGGTAGCTGGTCTGCCAGTCGTTGGTCTGCAAGATGGCCTTCAAACCTGCGTGAAAGGGCTGCTCTTCCTTGGGGGCAGTGGAGAGCACCGGCAGGAACGTGCGCAGCTCCACTCGTGCCGCACGCTTCTGGACACCTGCGAAACGGGTTGAGCACAACCAGGGTAGAAAGTCAAGCGCACAACATGGGAATAATGCAACCACGGAAACGGCAATGCATACACGCAGGTCAGTGGGAAGCTATTTCTTGCTCACCAGGCAAGATCGTGTCCCGGTTCTTGGCCTGAAACAGATGGACGAGGCCGTGCAGGTGTGCTCCTTGCACTCTGCGTCTCTTGCCTCGACGCCCCTTGGCCACGAGCGGGGCATGAAGAGCTTCGCCCCGTTCAAGCGCGTCAGGTCTCCCAAGCGCAGCTCGAGGTTGTACACCAGCTCGCGGGCAAATGAGCGGCAGCAGGTGTAGCAGCCTTGCATGTCCCCGCTGCTGGTGGTGTATCCCTTGACTGCCTCCTCGTGCAGCTGGAACTTGTGTACACGGGGCTGACCCTCCTTGTCCACCCCTTCCACAGTCACTTCACGGCAGTCGGGCGAGGCGTGCCGCGCGAGGAAAGCAGACAGCAGCTCGCTGGTCCCACCGCCAAAATGCTGGCCACAGTTTAGGTACCTCTGCTCCATGTAGATGATGGTCCGCCTCACCTGGGAGTGCACTGCAGTGAGGTCGACCTGTTGGTGGGGGGAGAATCGGTACACCGAAACAAAAGATAAGTACCTGGGAGAAGAAGAGAACTGCAAAACGGAACTCAACAACTCACCTGTCGCTTCTGGAATAGCAGGTTGAGCGCGTTGAGTGCCGTGTGCACATCTGCCAAGAAGAACAGGAAGTAATGAAACTTGAACGACGTTACTAAGTGGTACATTGTCTTGTCCGACTCCTCGAGCATAACGATGACAGCTGGCAGAACGCGTACGAATCGTGCGATTGCATCGCCGCAACTCAACCAGTGGACGCTGTGGATCCCCTGGACCTCGAGGTTGGTATGCGTGAACACTTCCTGCAACTCCTTGAACTTGCAGTTGGAGTTGCTGGATCTGCCGAGATCTTCCGCCACTGTTCGGATAACCGCGTCGATTATGCCAAGCTCGGGTAGTGCCTTAGCCACCTCCTTTGCAGCAAGCGCTTCCCTGCCACAGGTAGAAATGCACGGGTGGGGGTGTTAGAATTCGCACTGCGACATACCACATTGCACATCTCATACCGCAACAACACCACCACAGCAACAGTTTACCTGTGTGCGATGCAGTGAGAAGCCACCACGTGCGGGATCTCCAGTCGAAGACGCCCAACGAGGCCCGTGTCTATGCTTATCATCACAGGTGCCCCATCAGTGCTGATACCCGCCACCTTCTCGAGCGGCAGGCTAATACTGTCAAGGAATCCCATGATCTTAGCATAAAGAGATGCTGCATCACACTTCTCGACGGAGAGGTTAGTCAGAAACTCTGTGGTGACGGCATGCTCACGCAGAAAGGTTACAAACACAATCATGTGCTTCCCTTTGACGCAGTCCGTACTCTCGTGGCAGCTCTGACCAATGAATGGACTCCAATAAATGAATTCTCTCTGGCGCGCACGAAGGTATGCAGCTATTGCTGGGGTGATCTCTTCAAATCCGTACCTGCACGCGCATCAACGCATGTGGTTAGTGATAGCTTCACGTATATCACATCCCCCGACGATATGTACTAGAGCAGTGTCACTTACGTCGTGTAGTAGGCACCATAACTGTCGAACACTATACGTGTTGTTGTTGGGTAGGTTATAGTGGGTTAGCCTTTAGGGGGTACACAAAACTAGGGTTTGATACTTGTACTCCACTTTTTTATAGTTCACATCACTTCTCATTCTGACATGGTATTAGAGCTTAGGTTCTAGACCTAGGACTCACCTAAGGGCCCACCGTTAGAAGCGCCCTCGAGCGCCCCATCGTCCTAGCGCCCTCGAGCGCCGTTCGCCTAGTGCGCCCTCGTGCGCCTCGTCTTCTCGTGCTGCCTGTGCGCGGCTCGCTAGTGCCGCGCACGACCTTTTTTTTTTCGCGCGCGCCGCTCTCTAGCCTGCTGCTCCCTCAGGTGTTTCCCAGGTAGACCCGGTCGAGCCTGTCGAGGTAGCTGTTGACTCTGGTCTTGTGCAAGGTACTGAGCGTGCTGAGCCTGGGGGTGCTAGGTCTGGGGGCGCTGAGACTGGGGGTGCTGAGTCTGGGGGTGCGCAGACTATGGGTGCTGAGCCTGGAGGTGCTGCGACTGGGGGTGTTGCGCCTGACGGGACTGTGGCTGGGGGCTTTGAGACTGACCGTGCTGCGCCTGCTGGCGCTCCTTCCTCTCACCAGCTGCGTGAGTGGTACTCCCAGTGTTACAGCCTTCGTCATGGGGCTCCTAGAGCTGGGGGGTCTGCTGGAGTTGGGGCTAGTCGTCCTGCGGGTGCCGTGTCGTAGCCGGAGCCTCCCTCCCCTCAGCGGCTGCGTGAGTGGTACGCTCGGCGCTGCAGCCTCCGGAGAGGAGCTCCTGGTGTTGAGGTACCGCCCGCTGGAGACGCTACCACTGCTGGAGGTCCTAGAGCTCCTGCGGTGCCGCTGGTGCTGCTGGAGGTGCTGACGGTTCTGCTAGAGTTGCTGGAGGTACTGGAGGTGCGAGGTGCTATTGGAGCTGTTGGAGGTTCTAGTGGAGCTGCTGGAGGCACTGGAGGTGCTAGAGGTGCTGCTGGAGCTGCTGGAGGTTCTGCTGGAGCTGCTCAAGGCACTGGAGGTGCTAGAGGTGCTGCTGGAGGTTTTGCTAGAGCTGCTGGAGGTTCTGGTCCTGTCTCTGCTGCTGCTGGAGGCACTTCATGGCTATGGCCGTACTTCGTTCCACTCCTTTAGCAGGTTCTTGGTCAGCCGCCTCCTCCTAGTCCTCCCCCCTCCGTAGAGTGTCCTCCGCCTGTCCAGTCCCAGTCACAGCTTCCACTTGCCTCGACGCTTCCTGGTCCTCCTCCCTACACTGGTCCGACAGGCGGTCTTACAGAGCGTCGTGAGCCTGAGTCTCGTCCTGTGTCGCCTGCGTCCCGTCCGGTGTCACCTGTTTGTCTTGCTTGTGCTAGTTGCCATGTACCACATGAGCGTCCGCCACATGTCCCTTGCACACACCGGATCTCACTACGTCCTTCCACTGCTCCTCTGCGTGTTCCTCTTTAGTCTCCTCCCCCGTCCTCTCTTCCTGCCCTTGCTGACCTGGAGTGCGACTCCGTTCGTGCTGCCAGTCCTACTGACACGCGTCTCCTGGCCAATGTTGTCACTGACCCTTCCTTTGAGTCCACTGCTGCATCTGCCCTAGTTGCTGAGCTTGTCCACTTTGCTGCTCGCTGCCGTCTAGACTACGGTGCCAATCTTGTTGATGAGTCTGAGTGTGTTTGTCCTCCGTCCATTGGGGGTGAGTGTGCTCTAGGCACGAACGTCCTTGAGGACAGACAGGAGGACCTTGAGTGTCTTGCAGCCGCTGCGCCCCATCTCGTGTCCATGCTGATTGCCCATGAGGGAGACCCGGATGCACCAGACATCCCGACTCCTCGATCGTACGCTGAGGCGATCGAGGCTCCCTACTACTCACAGTGGCAGTCAGCCATGGACGCAGAGATGGCTTCGTGGAAGTCCACAGGCACCTACGTCGACGAGGTTCCCCCACCTGGGGCGAACATCGTCAGTGGCATGTGGATTTTTAGGGTGAAGCGGCCGCCAGGTTCACCGCCTGTCTTCAAGGCTCGTTACGTTGCTCGAAGCTTTAGTCAGCGAGAGGGAGTAGACTTCTTTCAGACCTTCTCCCCCACCCCAAAGATGACCACTCTTCGGGTACTACTGCACGTTGCTGCTCAGCGTGACTACGAGCTTCACTCTCTTGACTTCAGCACAACTTTCTTGCAGGGCAGTCTGCACGAGGAGATCTTGCTGCGCCGCCCTCCTGGCTTCACTGGGTCGTTTCCTCCTGGTACTCTGTGGAGCCTCCGACGGCCAGTCTATGGTCTCCGCCAGGCACCATGCTAGTGGCACGACACACTGAGGACTACTCTTGCGGCACTTGTGTTTGCTCCTTCTACTGCTCACCCGTCGCTGTTTCTATGCACTGACACTTCCTTGCCGTTGTTCTACATCCTCGTGTACGTCAACGACTTGGTCTTTGCCACTGCTGACACTGAGGCTCTCGCCCACGTGAAGTCGGAGC